TACTAGAAAAATGGATAACTGAGTTCTGAAATCAATCAGATGCTGTATGTGCACAGGTGAAAGCTGAGTCACACCAGAAGTCCTAGGTACAAGAGAGTCTAGAATATGTAGTTATGAGCTTTCTAGTAGCCCATGACCCTTCAGAAAGAGGCTGGAACTGAAGAAGGTCTATTATGTTATACTTACCACAGAAAGCTAACAACTTTGACTCCGAAACATGGGAAAGATAGCAGAGAAAAAGAAAACTATACACTAATTTTACTTAGGAACAAAGATATAAAAATGCTAAGGGATCTATGTGGTGTAGTTAATTGTTTAATAAGCCACTTCTAGTCTTAGTCTTTGTAACTCCTACCAAACTACTCTTTTCTGGTTGGGTCTGAGTAAGAGAAAGTGGGAGAAGATGCTGATAGGATAACAGAGCTTACTGTAACTGTAAAAACTTGAAACTCTAGCATGGCTATAAAATGAACCATCTCAGAAGCGGGAAGGTGGTGATCTTACTACCATCAAAGAAGAAGAGCCAGGAGTGGATCATGTCCTTTTGATCCAAGATCCCTGTGCATTGACCCAGGGACAAAAGTTTTGACACTGGAGGAATGGCAGAGGAGCAGTAGCAGCAGAACCAAGAACCAGAATAACAGCCCACAGAGCAAGTCAATCTGGGCAACTTTGGGCAGGGAGCTTGTTCGTAGAGTGGGGTACCTCTAGGCACCCAAGTGGAGAAGCGGGGTTTGCTGACCCATGAAGCTAGAGCAGAGGGCCTTCAGGGTGAGGTTAATGGTGGAGTGCTAAGTCCTGTGGACGTTTATCAGTAGCTGCCTGGGACAACTGAGCCCTGAACATTTTCGGATCCTGACTTATAACCTGTTAACTTCCCTATAAACCCCATAGCTGTGAGTATGTTGTGTGGTCAATGCAATGGATTATTGAACCCAATTGAGGAGTAGAGAGTGTGGTGAAAAGAATGGTTGATGCTTCCTATTTGGCAATCACTTAGAAAAGTGAATCCTCTGGGTTATTAAAAAATAACACTGTGACCAAGTGGCTACAAATCTGACTTGATTCGTTTACCAAAAGTTAAAGTATTGAGAAGAGTCTCTTGCTCTCTCTTTATTGTGGCAAAATGAAAAGATGCCATTTTAGCCATTTTTACAATTTAACAATGCAGTCACCTTAACGAAGTTCACCATGTTGTGCAACCATTATCACGATCCATTTCTATTATTTTTTACATCACACTTAACCAGAAACTTAGCTCCATTTAAGCAGTGATCCCCCACTTTTCTCCCTCCTGCCTCTGGCAATCATTAATAAACTTTGATCTCTGTGCACCTGTTCATTCTAGATATTTTGTGCAAGTTGTTGTTATTAAATACCATTGAGTTGGTTCTGACTCATAGTGTTTCTGAGGAGCAGCTGATGGGCTTGAATCACTGACCTTATGGTAGGCAGTCCAGTGCTTTATTCTACAGCACCACACTAGGATGCCTTCATGACAGTAATATCATAAATATTTATCTTTATGTGTTTCACCTATTTCACTCAACAAATGTTTTTTAAGGTTCATGCATGCCATAGCATGTAACAGAATTTCACATCTCTTTATGTATGTATATACTACATTTAGTTCATCCATTCATCTGCTGATGAACATTTGAGTTGTTTCCATCTTTTGGCTCTTGTCAACAGTGCTGAAATGAGCTTTGGTATATAAATATCTGTTTGCATCCCTGAAGAGCCCTGTTGGCACATTGGTTAAGTGTTCAGCTGCAAAAGGTCAGTGGTTTGAACCACCAGCCACAGCAGAAAGATGTGGCAGTCTGTGTTCATAAAGCTATACAGCCTTGGAAATCCTCTGGGGCAGTTCTACTCTATCCTTGTTGTTGTTGTTAGGTGTCATAGAGTTGGTACCGACCTATAGCAACCTTATGCACAGCAGAATGAAACACTGCCCGATCTTGGGCCAACCTCACTACTGTTGCCACACTTGAGTGCATCGATGCTACCACTTGGCCAATCCATCTTGTTGGGGGTCTTCCTCTTTTTCTCTGACCCTCCACCTTACCAAACATGATATCCTTCTCCAGTGACTGATCCCTGGGTCATTAATAGCCGAAATCAACTTGACAGCAATGAGTTTGCATCTCTTTTACAAGCCTGTTTGGTATAGACCTAGGAGAGGAATTGCTGGGTCATAGGGTAATTCAAAGCGCCCTGGTGTGGTGCTGTAGGATAAGCACTGGACTGCAAGGTTGGTATGAAGTGCAAGGTCAGTGGTTCAAACTCATCAGCCTCTCCTTGGAAACCCTAGACAGGGTCACTACAATAACAATTAACAAGGGCAATTCAATGTTTAATTTTGGAACTAACTGCTCCATAGCAGCTGCACCATTTTACACCACCATCAACAATGGTTCAGGGTTCTGATTTCTACATATTCTTGCCAACACACAGGGATTTCCAATTTTCTAATAATAGCCATCTTACTGGGAGTAAAGTAATACTTGTTTGGGGTTTTGATTTGCATTTCATTAATTCAAGATGCTGTTAAGTATCTTTTCATGTGCTTATTGGCTATTTGAATATTTTCTTTGGTAAAATATCTATTCAAGTCCCCTGTCCATACTATATTTTACTTACATTGTTTGTATTTTTATTGAGTTGAGAACAGTCTCTTTCTTTGTTCCACTGAGGCATTTTATGTTTTGTATGTATTACATCCCTAGAAAAAGAATCCCAGGATTTTCCCTTCTGTGTGTTTTTGTGTTGTTTCTTCATGGTCCACGATACCAGCTGGGGTCATCAGTACAATGAAAGTAACCTAAAAGAATATTGTGTGCCGTGGAGTCGGTCCATCTTATAGCGACCCTGTATAGGGTTTCCGAGGCTGTATATCTTTAAGGGAGAAGAAAGCCTCATCTGGTAGTTTCGAACTGCTGACCTTAAGATTAGTACCCCGATTCGTAACCACTACGCTACCAGAGCTCCTTAAACTGACAGAATGTTGTTGTTGTTGTCAAGTGCCGTTGAGTCGATTCCAACCCATAGCGACCCTGTATAGGGTTTCCAAGGAGCAGCTGGTGAGCTTGAACCGCCGACCTTGCAGTTCAAACAGCTTTGCAGTCTGGTGCATTAACCCACAGCACCACACCAGGACTCCACTGACAGAATAGGAGTGGATTATTTTGCCACTTCTCTGGATCTATCAGCTGCATGTCAGATCTAGGGCTGCTCACACCACACTTATTTAGCCTGCCTATAGAGTTAACAATTTTTCCCTGTTCTGTGATCATTGATGATTTCAAGTTCACCAACATAACCATGCTTCATTTTCAGAGTTAGAAACCAGATGATGACTTTGAAGAATGGCCTCCTAAGAACTTGGCGTTTGCTGCTCTTCTTGACTTTATTAATGCTCTTAAGATCATTTGGCCAGGATGTCCATGCACATCATTAAGGAAGCACAGAAAGATGATGGAAAGCAGAGAACAGTTTCTTTTTAATTCTTCAGTTTCCCAAATTCTTGGCATATAGTAGCAGCTCAGTGAATTAATACATCTTAAATTTAGGATTACTTTTTTTTAATGGTTGAATATGTTCAATATTTAAATTGGCATGAAAAACCTTTAATAAAATCCTTTCTATTTGGAGCTAGAGTTGTTTTTTTAAAAATAACCTGTCTAATTAATGAAGGGAAGGTGGCATGTTTGAGCATTATTATTCCCTAGAGACTGAAGGTAATAAGAAATTGTGGCATGTTTCCTTCTATCCCTGACTGTCTTGATTCCACCATGCTGTTTTGTTAGTTACTCCTCATCCCTCTCCATCATTATCTCCTCATTGGCTTTGTGAACCACCCAGTAGCCATCCCTCAGGAGACATCTGACAATGCCAGACACTGCCCCAGAAGAGGGAGCTGAGGTTGCAGGACATCCCTCCAAGATCATACAGGTGGTGCCCTGTGCAGCCAGGACTGGAAGATCCTTCGGGATGTTGGTAACAGGAGCTGCTCCTTGTTGCTGGGAAGGTAGGTGCAGACTTGTGCTTGTCCCCTGAAGAGCTGAGTGCCAGAGTTTTTATTGTCTTTGACCTTCCATGCTAGTCTTCCTGAGATGAGCTTTTCAAGCCCTGGGTGTCCAACTGTATGGTCTCTCCTCGTCCTTTTCTGTTTCTCCAGCATCACCCTTCCCTAGGACCCTGAGCTCTTCCCAAGCACCCCACTCTCCAGGCTAGGAGCAGTCCCTTTAGTAAGCCTCTACATTTATGATTGTTCTTAAAATGGAATTATTTCCCTCTCATAATCTATTAACCTTTTATTAGATTTTTATGTAAAGATAATCTATATAAAACCAAGATAACAAGGTAGTGAGAAAGTACCTGGTATGATCTTATATACTGTTAGAGAGAGAAAATGAAGAAAAAAAATAACAGAAATCAACAGGCAAAACTAGTTTAAAATATCATTGAAAGGATGGTAAAAAATGATAAATGATTTGGCAGGTATTTGAGAAATGTTTTATTCCCCAAAGATTTGACTTTCACCTAGACATTGGTTATTATCTCTGACTATTAGTAAAATTGCATCTGTTAGACTTCTGAGACAACCTTAATTAAAAGTGAGTCAGTCCAACTGTATAAATTACTGTAAGCATGGGAATCTGGCTATTGTATTAAATCTCTGGAGGCCTACTGCTAGGCTGAGTGAGTAAATTAATTAGCACTTGTACATGCTCCTATAGCTTGGCTGTTAAATTGCTTCTTCAGGAGGATGAAAGTAGAGATCAAAAGTTCTGAGTAGTTAAATGGTGGATGAAGAGAAAAAACAATGTATAACACACAAAATGAATAAACCAATCCCTAAATAACTGAAAACTAATTCGACAAATGATTGTAGTTCTGAACAGAAAAAATATGTGGCACATACAAAATCTACTACTCAAAGCATGATCAAAGAACACACTGAGGGTGTACTTAAGATGTTTTGTTCATAAGCTTACCTTATAGTGCTTGGCTTGCTTGTGAGGACATCAGGAACTTCATACCGGGGCTTCAGGGGAGCCTCTTCATTGATTTTAATTCTAAAAATGTTTCCCTTTAGACCATAAACTTCAGCTAAGAGGGGAATCTGGGAACAGATACATGTGATTAGCTTCAGCAGGTTATCCCTAGTAATGGTGAACTCGAAATAGGCAAAATATAGTAATTAGAAGAGTGTTTAAATAATGTTATTGTTGTTAGCTGCCATTGAGCTGGCTACAACTAACAGTGGCCCTCTAACAGTCCACCAGAATGAAGCTGCCTGATGCTGTGCCAGTCTCGCAATCCATCTGGGTGAGGCTCTTCTTTTTTTTTGGTGACCCTTTACTTTACCAAGTATAATAACCTCCTCCAGAGACTGGTCTTTTAAGTCTTGCCATCCTTACGTCTAGGAGCTCTGGTAGTGTAGTGGTTACGAATCGGGCTACTAATCTCACAGTCAGCAATTCAAAACTACCAGCTGTTCCGCAGGAGAAAGACGAGGATTCTGCACCCATGAAGATTTACAGCCTCGGAAACCCTGTGCAGGGTCGCTATGAGTTGGAACTGACTCCACGGCACACAACAACAACAATCTTTATGTCTAAGGTGCATTCTGGCTGCTGCTGTTGTTGTGTGCCGTGGAGTCAGTTCTGACTCACAGTAACCCTGTGTAGTTTCTAAAGAGTGGCTGGTGGGTTTGAACTGACCACCTTGTAGTTAGCAGTCCAGTGCTATTCCTACAGTGCCACACCAGAACTCCATTCTGGGTGTACTTCTTTAAAACAGATTTGTTCTTCTGGAAGTCCATGATATATTCAATATTCTCTGCCAACACCAAATTCAAATGCATCAATTCTTTGTGCTTCCTTATTGATTGTTCAGCGTTCACATGTAATGAGATGAATGAGAATATCATGACTTGGGTCAAGTGCACCCTAGTCCTCAAAGTGGCAGCTCTGCTTCTTAACATTTTAAAGAGGTTTTTGCAGCAGATTTGCCCGAAGCAATGTTACCTGATTTCCAGGCTGCTGCTTCCATTATGGCTCCAAGTAATATGAAATCCTGACAATTCAAACTTTTCTCCGTTTATCATAATGGTGCTTCTTGGTCTAGTTGTGAGGACTTTTGTTCTATATTGAGGTGTAATCCATACAGAAGGCTTTGTCAGTAAGTGCTTCAACTCTTTGTGGGCAGCAAGCAATGTTGTGTCATCTGCATAGCACAGATTGTTAAGGAGTCGCCCTTCATTTTTTATGCTGAGTTCTTCATATAATCCAGCTTCTCAAGACTGTTTGTTCAGCATATAGATTGAGTAAATATGGTGAAAAGATACAATCCTGATGTACACGTTTCCTGATTTTAAATTATGCAGTATCTCCTTGCTCTGCCTTTTGATCTATGTACAAGTTCCACATAAACACAATGAATGTTCTGGAATTCCCATTCTTTACAATGTTATCCATAATTTGTTATGAGTCACACAATCGAATACCTTTGCATAGTAAATGAAACAGATAAAGATCTTTCTAGTATTCTTTGCTTTCAGTCAAGATTCATCTGATATTAGCAATGATATTCTTTGTTCCATATCCTCTTTTTTTTCTGGTTCAAGGGAATCTTCCTGTTTTATTGTCCCCCAACCTGGGAGGATGGTGACACATGAATTCACCAACACTAGAGAGGCTTGCAGGGACCACAGTCTCCTCAGATAGCCCTTTCCCCACACTTTTGGGTCCAGAGCAGCTGAGGAGAAGTCCAGGGATGCTAACTACAGCTCAGATGGCAGGAAACATCCTCAGAAAGCTGCATCCTCAGCTTGGGCCTGGGGGCCAAAGAGCTGCTCAGCAATGACCTTGCCATCATACTTGGGCAGTGATCACCTGGAAGAAGCTGAAGAGGTCATCTCTGTGGACAAAGATTCTCTGGAGCAGCTTGCTCTTCAAGGTTGTCATGAAGTACCATGGCTGGTGGATGAAGTGTATGGCTTTGAAGCAGGCTGCGACCACATCCTCTTTTGAAACTGGCTTGGATTTTTGGCACTTCCCTGTTGATGTACAGCTCTAATTGTTTTTAGATTATCTTCAACAAAATTAATTTGCATGTGATATTAATGAGATTGCTTGGTAATTCCACATTATATTGGATTAGTTTTCTTTGAAATTGGCACAATATGGATCTCTTTTAGTCAAATGGCCCATTTACAGATTTCTTGGTATAGATGAATGAGTGCTTCCAGCATTGTATCCATTTGTTGAAACATCTCAATTTGTATTCTGACAAATCGTGGAGTCTTGTTTTTGACCAATGCTTTCAGTGCAGATTGGACTTCTTCCTTTAATATCATCAGTTCTTGATCATATACTACCTCCTGAAATGGTTGGATGTCAGTCAATTCTTT